GTGAGATACACAGTTACAAAGCTTTTATTATTGGTTTCTTCAGGCTACACAGTTCCATAGCCATCCCTCCACCAGTGTACATTTCCCACCATCAATATCCCAGTTTTTCTCCCACCCCACGACCTCCCCCTCCTCCTGGCACCACCCTGCCTCTATGGCAGGCACTTTTCTTGTTCTCTCTCTCTCTCTCTCTCTCTCTCTCTCTCTCTCTCTCTCTCTCTCCTCCTTTTGGACATTATGGTTTGCAAAGGATGAAAGAAAGCAGGGACAGATAGTACATCGCTTAAGGCTCTTGCTTACACATGGCCAATCCCTGTTGGATCTGTGTACACTGCATATGTCCACACAGTGTAATTTTTGTTTGTTTCCTTTTTGGGCAACACCCAGAAATGCTCAGCAGTTGCTCCTGGCTCTGCACTCAGGAATTACTCCTAGTGATGCTTGAGGGACCATAGGGAAAATCAGGGATCAAGCCCAGGATGGCCACACACAAGGCAAACGCCCTACGAGTTGAAATATCAATACAGATACATGTCATATGTTTTAAAAATTCATTTATTAGTGGCAGAGGGGCTGGAGTGATAGCCCAGCTGGTAGGGTGTTTGTTTGCCTTGCACGCAACCGACCAGGGTTCAATTCCCAGCATCCCATATGGTCCCCTGAGCATCGCTAGAAGTAAGTCCTGAGCGCACGAGCCAGGAGTAACCTCTGTGCATCACTGGGTGTGACCCAAAAATAAAAAAAATCATTTATTAGTGGCAGAGAGCAGAGACACCTCTAGTTCCTTTGCATCTTAACCAATGCATTTCTTCTCATTTATATCTTCACTACTTTACTCTAATAAACCTCTTTGAAAATTTTCTAGTATACATAGCTCTAGCAGTACTGCTGATTTCTAAGATGTACTGAAAAGATTTTGCTAAACACTGCCAGAATAGGAGTTCCACTAAAGATACTTGCTAGCACTTCCTGTTATTATATGCTTTCATAATGTGTTTTAATTTGATGGGAATAAAGTGGTTTTCCATTTTTTTGGTTCTTATTTCTTGGATCCCCAGTGAAGTAAAGCATCTTTTCTGTGTGGATTATTTTGTTTCATAAATTTCTAATTAATATTCTACTTAAAATTGAGGCTTTCTGTCTTCATACAAACAAAGCATAAGATCTAATTTGTGCTTTGTAGCATTTATCATTAAGCAGAAACAACTTATAATTAAAGAGAATATAGATAATATATTGGATTGTTGTGCTCTGTGTTGCTTCCTGAAAATGCAAAAGATAATTTCTCAAAAATTAGAACCATCATGGGCTGATGTTTTTGTTCATTTAGGTTTTGGGTCCATGCTTGGTGGTGCTTAGGGCTTGCTCCTGACTCTGTGCTCAGGGATCACTCTTGTAGGTGCTGGGGGACCTTAACTAGTTCTGAGGATCAGAACTGGGTCAGTTGCACACAAGACCAGCTCCTAAACTCCAGTACTACCTTTCCAGCCCAGTTTGATGTTTTTAGAGGCAGTTAGGAGAGATTTGGAAGTTTAGGGAAGAGTTTATTGCAGGTTATTGCAGAGACAACATTTGATACTGTGACCTGCAGCCTGAAGAAATAACAGGAAGACTGTTGTTTACCCAGGAAATAACAGTTTCTGTGAGGGTGATGAATAAGAGCAGTTTCCATGAAGGGTATGGTTGGGGTACTAAAAAATTAAATCTGCATAATTAGGGCCAAAGAGATAGTACAAGTGCAAGGCACTTGATTGTGTGAGACTGACCCAGGTTTGATCCCTGGCACCCCATCTGGTTCCCAAAGCCTGGCCAGGATTGAATCCTGAGCGCAAAGCTTGGAATAAGCCCCAAACACACCTGGCCCAGAACACCAAAAAAATGTTCTTGGATAGTTAGGATTTGACCGAAATAAGAGGCTAGTAGGTGAGCGGAGGAGGACCGTCAAATGCAGTTGCAATGGTTTGAGTGTTTCTGTCATTCTTAAAGCATGTGTTAAAACCCTAACTCCAAAGGTGATATATGGGAGGTGGAGCTTTGGGGGCAGAGGGAAATAGGTCACTGGGACCGAAAGCGAGACTCTGGGATTGCTGCCTTTATAAAGACATCCCTTTCCTCTTCCCAGATGTGAGGGGGAAGAAATAAAGGGGCCTGCTGTGAAACGTGATGAAAGTCTGCATTAAGAGTAGGCATGGCTGCGACTGGAGAGATAGTACAACGGGTAGGGCGTTTGCCTTGCAGGTGGCCGAGCTGGGTTCGATTCCCAGCATCCCATATTGTCCCCTGAGCACTACCAGGAGTAATTCCTGAGTGCAGAACCAGGAGTAACCCCTGTGCACCTCTAGGTGTGTGTGAGAGAAGGCATGGCAACTGACACTGGGACCTTCGAGCCTCCACAACTACGGGAAATAAATTCCTGCTGTTCATAAATTTCATACTCCAAGATATTTTGTTAGCAAAGCCTAAATGGATTAAGAGGAGGTATTTTACAAGAATCTCATTTTCCACGTCAGAAGGGTTGAGAAGGCAGATCAGTGATGAGAACATATCGCAGTTAAAAAGTTAATTATTTTGGAGCACTGGAGAGATGGTGCAGTGGATAGGGCACTTGCTTTGCAGGCAGCCGACCTAGGTGTGATCAATTCCCAGCACTGTTTATGGTTCTTCAAGCACTACCAGGAGTTATGCCTTAGCACGTGGTAACTGCTCAGGTAGGGCCTGAACTGCCAGGTAGGCCCTGGCAAAAAATAAGTGAATTATATTTTGAATTGAATAGGAAATATTTACTGAGGGTGTCTTCATTGGAGTTGCTAAAGAAAGGATAATAGAAAGATTTTAGAAAGAAAAAGGATTTGGAGAAATTAAACAAGTAATTTTTTTTTTTTGCTCTTTGGGTCACACTGGCGATGCACAGGGGTTACTCCTGGCACTGCACTCAGGACTTACTCCTGGGGGTGCTCAGGGGAACATATGGGATGCTGGGAATCGAACCCGGGTCAGCCGCGTGCAAGGCAAACACCCTACCCGCTATGCTATCTCTCCAGCCCCAAACTAATAATTTTTAAATTATTTTATAGTTATTCTAAGAAGAGTTTATAGTTATTCTAAGATTTTAGTCTGAGGGAAAGTTGTTGGTTTCTTTGTTTGCTTTTGGGCCACATCTGGTGGTATTTGTTGGACCATGCGGTGCCAAGGATGGAACCCCAGGGCATCTGAGTTCAAAGACTGTTCCAGACTTTTAGCCATCCACCCAGTCCCAGTATGAGGAATTTGAAAACAATAAAGACGAAGTTTTGTTTTGTTCTGAAATAGGAGGGAAAATAAGCAATAGTGAAAGTATAAAATTTGGAGACGTTATGTTTTGATGTTTTAATTTTTTAGGGGAGGGCATACTCTTGACAAGTTCATGATCCCCTCTCCCTTTTAAACTCTATTTTCAGATTCTTAGGTCCTATTTTGATCTTTTCTTTCTAGTGTTCTAAAAATTCTTTCCATACACAAACTCCTAATATTAAATAAACACTATTAAAAATTCAGGGTTTAAGGTGTTTGTTTTGCATGCAGCAGACTCTGTTTTGATCCCCAGTACCACATATGGTTCCCTGAACACTGCCAGGAGTGACCCTGAGCACTGCTAGGTGTGGCCCAACCTTTCACAACCCTCAAACCCAAAGAAAATAAAAAACAAGCAAAACCATTTTTCTACATTCACTTAAAATACTGAATTAAGTATTGAATTATTGTATACCTAAAATACAACTATCAGTAACTTTATAAGTCATGGCTCTTTAATTAAACATTTAAAAAAACCATAAACCAAATTGTATAGATCTTGTTCTATTTTCATGATACTCAATCACTATATTAAAATACAAAGACTACTAAATGACACTGATTTATTTATACACAGTCTACTGAGTATATCTATGTTTGTAGGCTTTTTGGCTAATGTAATTTGTTAAATCTTAGTAAAGTGCTGTTACAATGACCACCTCCTGGGACTTGGAAATAGCCTCATTATACAGAACTTAATGTTGTAAACTGATGGCATTTATTAGAATAGAATTCTATATGTATTATTACCTTAGACATCAGCCTTGCTTTTTTTTTTCCGCCTCCTCACTGCAGGAAACTTGGGTAATTATGCTAATGCTCGCTGATTCATGAGGACAACTTCCTAAAGTGCACTTAATTAACTTGGAGATTTTGTAAACAGCTGTACATGTAGGCTTCGTAAATTGTAGGGATATGTCAATCTGACATGTGTAGACTCTGCCTTCCTAACCTCATCACTTTTTGCCAAAGCTGAAAACAACAAGAAACTCAGATCTTGCTGCTGTTGAAGCAAGTGCTTGAGTTAAAATCGGAGAAATGTCCTCTTAGCTTATAGGAAGAATGGGGTGATCTCCGTCCTGCCATTTGAGTTAGTTAAACCAGATGAGTTAGGCAGATTGCCATCTTTTGTATTACTCTAAAGAAGAATCTGCTTTGTTAGCAACATGCTGATGTAATATGATTTTGTCTATGGGTTTTGTCTAATGGTTTTGTCTAATGAGTCCCGTTGACCAACATAGCTCTTCAGGGTCATTTTAGGCAGTGATATTTCTCACCTGTAGGCTCCTTGAGGTCTGCTACCCTTCTGCCCCAAACCCCACTGCTGAGTTCATTTGATATTTAAGTGACTTATCACTCTTGCTGGAATGGGAAGACTTTGGACATAGATTGCTAAATATCTCATTTTCTCTTGCAACGAAAGGGTAATATTTGTACACTTATAGCACTTAATCAAGACTAACAGTGTAAAACAAAACTCTACACACAAACACACACACTTTAAGAGCGAATGTTTAGCAAGACACAACAGCCTCAAGACTAAACTGATCAAATGGACGGAAGGAACACTAAGCCAGAACGAAAGGAGGGAGAAAGTACTATTATCCAACCAGGAGAAAATACCAATTGCACAAAGCTAATGGTAGGGGAGAATAGGGATGGCTTTTTAATAATCTTATTACCACTGCATAAGATCGCTTTCTCAGATAAGTCCTAGAAGCTAAGCTAGTGATTTTCCTGGATTTCTCAAGGGTCCCCGCAAAATCTTTCCCCCTCATTAATTTAAGCTATAATCCTGGGTACAATCTCTTTGGGAGCTTGCTGGGTTACATCTAAAGATAATCAAACATTTATTGCTTATCCTTGACTTCCACCCTCAGCACCTCTTCCCCAGGCTCTGTGGATGGGGCCATGCTAATAATGAGTGACTGATGAGTATTTCCTCTGGGTAAACCGGCATTTCTAATGAACTGGGGTGTTCCCTCTGCTATAGTTGAATTTGTTTCACATTTGGCTCTTTCCGCTGGTTTCTCTGCTGGCTCTCTTCCTTTAACTTCCTTTTCCTTTTCTTCACCTTCTTCTCCTTCTGAGTCTTCACTTTTTTTCTGAAAGAGGCAGTTACAAAGAATTGGTACAGCAATCATAATCAAGGGTATTGGAGTCCTTTGAGTAGTATAGACTGATGCTGAGTATCGACCCGCAGATAAAGACTGGGTTCAATTAACTTGGGGGTTAGGATTGCCTTGCATTTGACTCTCATTTGACTTAATTTTACAAAGGGGGATCGTGAACAGGACAAAAGTTTGCCTATTGACTTAAACTGTGGATTTGCAGTTTAGTCCCTGTTAAAAAATTCTCATGTGATCTGATTTATTAGACCCCATAGCTCAGGATTATTTGTATTTGCATTTAAAATATTTATTTATTTTATGGAGATAAAATTTTAGATATTTATTTTTAATATAGAAGTAATACCCAAACATTACAAAAATATCGCAGGGAGCATGAATTTTTCTCCTGCTAAAGTACATGGAAGAATCTCTAGGAGAAACATAACTCTTCCTTTGTATAGTGTTTTCCATTTGTCCCCTGGGTTCTCAGCTATAGTTTTAGGATCTTTTGTGTTTGATATCATCTATAGACATTTCACAGTGAAAAACACAGTATCCATTTGGTAGTTGGGATCGATTTTGAAAAGTTGAGAATTCACCTAACACATACACACATATTATTTTTTACCATCACTTGGCATTTACAAAAAAGTTCTTAAATATGCTGACACAAGTGAAGAATTTGGTTTATGCTGTATCTCTAATTTTTCATTACTCTATGTACGTTGATAGAATAGACAAGTCTTAGCCTTCCGAGAATGTCTGACTTTGTAATATTAGGTCTGGCAATTTTTCTGCTTAATGGAAATTTTTATTTCCATTATCGAGATTTTCAGCATTATCAGTATTTCATTATTAAGATTTTCAGTAGTAGTGATGTTATTGTTTCTCACCATTAGCACTTTAGCTGGTGGGTGTGGTTCCTAGCAAAGTTTCTAAGCTTTCCCAATTCTCTGAAAAATCCATAGTTACTCATTTCTTATCGTTCTAGAGATGTCAGTAAGGAGATTTAGAAAACATGAATTCCTGCTTTCTTTCTCAGTAGCTGACCGCAGCGGCTTATGAGAATCAGAGAATATGAAAAGGGAGAGAAACATTGACATTTCAGCTTCTTAACACAGCTAAAGTTAGGAGATATCTCAGGAAAGACTTGGAAATCTTAATACCTAAGTAATGGCTTTTGCTCTATCACCGCGATTTTATCCAAATTCATTGATCTGGATCTCAGTCTTCATGTATAATATGAAGAGTTTGAAGGGAATCCATAAGATTATTTCTGGCTCTAAAACATTGGTGATAAACAATTGATATACTATCTGTAAAAATTGTTTGTTGACTTGATGTTACATCTAGATATGTGTATCTACATATATCTGTATATATCTGTACATTTATTTTTATGCCCACACATTTTTTTTACAGTTATATTTTGTTTACATTCACCAGCTTGAGTAGTTGATTTTCAGTCTTCAGGGTATTTTGTTTTATAAAGCTGCCACAAACTTTTTCTTTGTCATAAACTTCTTTACTACAATTTTTTTTGCCACAAACTAGCAAAAATGTAATTAGGTTAGTACCAGCTGGTTAATGATATTTAACTTTATATATATGTATATATCTGTATATGTATAAACACCTTGTTTAATATATGTAACTGACTCATTACATTTAACTCCTGGCCAGTAGCATATCTGGATGAAGCTTATCTAAAATATGTGTCTTCTCCATAGTGTACATAAGAGCATTTATTTTTTTAACCTTGGACTGAACTTTAGCACCATGATGGGGATCAATTAATAAAGTATGGGGCTGGGGGAGCAGAAGAAACACCAGAAAAATATGACACTAAGTGGACCAGGAAGATGTTATTTGCTCAGTGTGACTTTGAAATAATTCAACCCCAACTGGGAATATGTTCCTTAGACAGTTCTTCACTTCTATGTACCTGTGTTTATGGGTGAAAGAGATAGGTGAATACAATCAGTACCACAAAAGTATCATGAGTATTGATTTTGGAATGAAACTTAAATGGGATGATTGATTCATAAACACAGAATCCAAAAATAATGATCAACTGTACTTATCTATGTATGCACATTCAAACCGTCTATATTACATCCATGAAGGTTAAACATGATGATACTTGAGATACAGTTTGAATAATGATAAATGCTATACATAAAATAGTAACGGGCATCAGCAGAATCTAGATTATCATGGTGTCTGGAAATGAAATTCTATTAAGAGCTTCTCTGGGTAAAGTAAATCCAGTTCTTTCTTCACTGCAATTCCTTATTCACTGTGTTATTACCTGAATAGCTTGTTCTCTTTTCAGCTTGAGTAGCTTTGCCAGACTTGCTTTGCCTCCGGGGAGAGCTTTAAATATTTTGGGTGTTTCTTGTTTGGGAGGGAAGAGAAAGGCCAGCCCTTTCCTTGGAGGACTCGCCTCTGCAGCTGTACCCTTCTTTTTCAGAAGCACTCTAGGAACAAGAGAGAAAAATCTCTTTTCAGAAAGCATTTTGAGAAAGCTGGAAGAGCCTATCACAATTTTTTCTCTTAACCTATGAATTCTTCAACCATTTCTTTTTTTTTTTTTTTTTTGCTTTTTGGGTCATACCCAGCCATGCCCAAGGGTTAATTCTGGCTCTGCACTAAGGAATTATTCCTGGCCATACTCAGGGACAACTGTTTCCCAAGTTGCTCACTTGGCATCACAATGTAGCTTTTTTTTTTTTAATTTCATTTTTTTTAAATGGATCCCCGTGAGGTACTGTTAAAGACTTACAAACTTTCGTGGTTATGTTTCCATCACACAGTGATCGAGTATCCATTCCTCCACCAGTTCCCATTCTCCACCACCAATGAATGATCCCAGTATCCCTCCCACCACCCCCACCCCATGCCCCCAATTCCACCCGGCTTCTGTGGCAGGGCATTCCCATTTGATCTCTCTCTCCTTTTGGGTGTTGTGATTTGCAGTAGAGGTATTAAGTGGCCATCATGTTCAGTCTATAGTCTACTGTCAACCCGCATCTCCCATCCAGAGTGGGCCCTCCTAGCACCCTTTACTTGGTGGTCCCTTCTCTATCTGAGCTGCCTTTTCTCCCAGCATATGAGACCAGCTTCCAAGCCATGGAGCAATCCTCCTGGTGCTTATCTCTACAATTCTTGGGTGTTTGTCTCCCATTCTGTGACTTTATATTCCACAACTGAGTGCTGTCCCTCTCTTTCTGATCCATTTCACTCAACATGATACTTTCCATGTTGATCCACTTATGTGCAAATTTCATGACTTCATCTTTTCTAATAGCTTATAGCTCTTAACAGAGATTAAGTAAAGACAACTCTCCAAAGGAAGTTTTATTATTATTATTATTATTATTTTTGAGATTTGGGGGCATGCTCGCTGATGCTCATGGGGCCACTCCTCACTCTGTGCATGGGCGACTCAGAAGGGATTTTTGTGTAATACCTGGCTTTTTTCATGAGGAGCTTTTCAGAGTCAGGATAATGCACTAGAATTTCTTGGAGGGTCTTTTTATCTAGAGTTAAAAGATTGGCAAACCCATGTGCCACCACATTGGCAGTTCGACGGTTTCCTCCTTTTGCTGCTAAAAGGCTGTAAGAGAGGAAAAAAGTCATTGTTATCGGTTTTATCCTCCTCACCCCATTGGAGTATCTTTAAATAAATGGCAAATATAATGATTTGAGGATGTTTCAGAGAACAGTTCCCTGAGGTCAATGTCAGAGAGTGCAGATGAGGTAGCAAGAAAAGCAATGAAGAGTTTAGTAAATCCTCAAAAACTTAACTTTTTAAGATATAACAATTTTCACCAATTTTCTTATACTGAAATATTTTTGATAACTCCTTTAGCCATTTGGTTGCCTGTATTCTACACAGCTTTAACATTTCTTCTTTTTCTCTTATAGAACTTCAATTTCTTTCTTTATATCACCTATAATTCTTATATCCTTTCAGCTATGTCTGTTAAAGTCCTGAGTATATCAATCATAATTATTTTAAATAACAAATCTACTAAATTTCCATTTTCTTGCTGAAAAACAAAGCTAGAATTCTATGTTTGGTGAAATTCTATGTACCTGTAAAAGTGAAGTTCAGAGTTTCTTTCAAAAATCAATGAATCCATTGGTTTCAATATTGGCAGTGTTATTCTGCAAGAAATCTTTGACTAGACTTTTCAATATAAAGAAATATTACATAGAATAGGAAGAACATCAAGGAAGGAATTATTAGGGCTGAGTATGTGACTCAGAAGTTATGCCTCATCCTTGTGAAGGATCAGACCCCCATAACCAACCCCCACCCCCACAATAGGAACAGAGGTAAGGTAAAGTCTTTTAGTCTTCTTATTAGTAGACCTAAAAAATATTTTAAAATAATAATAATATAAAAGTAACAACGCATTGAATGATTATAACACATGGATCACTTAATCACTTAATCACTTAACTTCCCGTTAGTCGTCGATTTGCTCGAGCGGGCGCCAGTAACGTCTCCATTTGTCCCTGTCGCGTGCTAGTGTAGCCCAATGGCATCTCTTCGCTCCGGGAACATGGAGGGCCTCAAACCGATCGTTCATGACCTTGACAAAGAAGTCTGACCATCTGGTAGGTGGGCGGCCACGCGGTCTCTTGACATCCCGTGGAATCCAATCAGTAACAGCTCTAGTCCAACGGTCATCTTTAAATCTCATTACGTGACCAGCCCATCTGATTTTCGACACCTTGGCAAATGAGACAGCGTCCCTGATCCTTGATCGTCGACGGATGTCAGAACTCCGGATTCGTTCTCTCATTTGAGTGAAACGTGATATTCCAAGCATAGCTCTTTCTATTCTTCTTTGGGAGACCTGAATGGCGTTCTCATCTTGTTTGCGTAGGGCCCAGGTCTCTGAGGCATATGTTAATGCAGGAAGAACAGTGGAATCAAAGAGATGTGCCCGGAGCCGGAGGTTCTTCGTCCTCTTAGCTATTTCTTCGACGTTCTTGAAGGCGTTCCAAGCCGCTCTCTTCCTCCTGCGAAGCTCGGGTGCCAGGTCATTTGTCATGTTGACCTCTCGACCTAGGTACACATAGCTGTTGCATTCGGAGATGGTCGTTCCATTGAGAGCGAATGGGGCGTCAGGAACAAGGCTATTTCTCATAAACATTGTCTTCGTAAGATTCAGCTGTAGTCCTACCTTTCCACACTCACGGTCAAAGTCGGCCAGCATTTGTGCCGCTTGGCTGATGTTTGGTGTTATTAAAACAATGTCATCAGCAAAGCGGAGGTGGTGTAGTTGTCGACCATCTATCTTCACTCCCATTCCTTCCCATTCCAGTCGTCGCATGATGTTCTCGAGGGTGGCACTGAAGAGTTTTGGTGAAATGGTATCACCCTGCCGCACCCCTCTCTTGACATCAACGATCACTTCTTTGTAGAATGGTGAGATCCTGGTAGTGAATCCGCAATACAGCTCACGGAGGATCCTGATGTATTGGGCTTGTATGCCCTGATTGGCTAGGGCTTCAATGACCGCTTCCGTCTCAACAGAATCAAAGGCCTTCTTTAAATCAATGAACGTTAAGCAGAGCGGCATCTTGAACTCCCGAGAAACCTCAATGAGTGTGGTTATCGTGTGGATATGGTCGATGGTGCTGAATCCTTTGCGGAACCCTGCTTGCTCACATGGTTGTCCTTCATCTAGTGTTCTGCCAATCCTATTCAGGATGACTCGAGTGAACAACTTGTAGATGACAGACAATAGGCAGATCGGGCGATAGTTGCCAATGTCATGGATGTCTCCCTTCTTGAACAGTAGTACGGTCCTGCTGGTTTTCCATTGAGATGGAACCTTGCATTCAGACAGGTAGCGAGTGAAGAGCCGAGCCAGTGTATTGATGAGTACTGACGGCAGGTTCTTCAGGTGTTCAGGTCTGACCTTGTCTGGGCCGGGTGCTGTTTGCTTCTTTACTGACGAAATGGCGTGTCGGATTTCGGAAGGGAGAACGTTGGGAACGACATACCCATCCTGTGGAATTTGGTATGTCGGCAAGTGGACATGGCTATCGAAGAGATTTGAGTAGAAGTCATGGATAATCTTCTCCATTGCCGTTCTGGAGGATGTGATGGATCCATCAGGACGTCGGAGGGCAGTCATCTTGGTCTTATAGTTGGCGAAGGACAGGCGGGCGTTACGAATACTTTTCCCGGCTTCTGCCGCATCTACCAGTACTTCTGCTCTTCTCTCTTTGAGGTCTTCCTTGATCGCATCTCTGCACTGCTTTGCAAGCTCGGACGTTAGCTTGCGGTTGCCTGAGGCATGCGCCAAACCACGCTGGCGAATTAGCTCAAGAGTTTTCGAAGATAGGCGACTTTTTGTGGCTATCTCTCTCTTGGCGTTCCTCGCACATTCATGGAGGTGCTGAACCAGTCGATCGTATTCCTCGTCAATGTTGTCAACAATGGCATCTTCCCATGTTGCCGCAATAGTACCAAAGAGTTCCCAGTTGGTGGTCGTTCTGGGAGTTCTCTTTTTGAACTTTGCAGCCCTTTCTCCCCGCTCTGTGAAGTAGAATTTTGCACGAAGGAGACGGTGGTCCGATCCCGTTCGAAATTTTGGGACAACAGCGACATCAGTCAGGCAAAACCGTCGATTGAATATGATGTGGTCTATTTCGTCTATAACACATGGATGAGTAAAATAAATGGTATCAATGTAAAGAATTGGAAGGGAATGCTATTATATGTTTGGGAATACCCAAGTTACTATTTTTTTTTTGCAGTGCATGTAAAGTAGCATAATATTTGTGAAAGAAGACAAGTTTTAAATATAAAAAGCTCTTGAACGACTAACCATTAACATTTTTTAATGTTTAGAGGCAGCACCTGGTGATTTTGGGTCCATCTGGGCAACCCTTGGCTGTCTGGTTCTTAGGGTGGGGCATGATAGTGCCAGGGTCAGAGATCTGAGCCTCAAGCATGTTGGCATGTGCTGTACTGCTTGAGTTGTATCCTGGATCCTTGTTAAAATATTTTATTTTATTCTATTTTTTTTTTGTTTTTTGGTTCACACTCGGCGATGCACAGGGGTTACTCCTGGCTCTGCACTCAGGAATCACTCCTGGCAGTGCTCAGGAGACCATATGGGATGCTGGGAATCGAACCAGGGTCGGCCGTGTGCAAGGCAAACGCCCTACCCGCTGTGCTATTGCACCAGCCCCAAAGTTCTTTTATTTTTTGCTTTTTGGATCACACCCAGTGATGCTCAGGGGTACTCCTGGCTCTGCACTCAGGAATTACTCCTGGCAGTGCTTGGGGGGACCATATGGGATGCCAAGGATCGAACCTGGGTCAGCCGCGTGCAAGGCAAACACCTAATCTGCTGTACTATCACTCTGTTGCCAAAACATGTTTTTTAAAGATGGATAACATACTAAGAGAGAAATACTCTCATACAATAAAAAATATAACATGCTAAGAGAGAAATACTCTCATACAATCGAAAATTAAATCTTATGAACATACAATTAATTTTAGAGAGGACATAAAAAAGTATAAAGCCACACTAAGCTACAAATAAGGATTTTTACATGTACTTAACATTGAAGCTTGGGTCTAGGACTCCTCAGTCACTTAAGCATGTAATTATTCCTCCAAGACAGAAAGTATGTTGTCGGAATCAACAATGCTGGCTATATTAATGACTATACTTATTTAGTTCAAGGACTTCACATTTTAAATTTCTTGCTCCTTGGTTAAAAAAACACACTTATTAGTTCTTTTCTGAGGATCTCTCCAAGATAAACTGTCTTCACCTTTTTTTGTTAAAAATAAATTAATTATGCTCTGTCTTTCTCTTTCTGTCTCTATCGCTACAATTAATTCTTTAGTCACTTCTCTACCCAACTTCCGGTCTGTCTTCCTAACTACCTTTCTATGAAATGGATATTAGTATTTGAAGGAAAATGATTGGATGAGTCCATCTCGTCCACATTCCTGTAGCTTTGAACACAAGACAATACAGTACTTAAGCAAGACTAGGTGCCACTGGAGATCTTAATTTGGATGTAAGAACATCTCTGTGTGTCAGACTATGAGAGCTGAACGGAAATAACATATTTAAATGTCATGTTATTTTGAGATTTCTCAAGCTTTAATTAAGCTTGCCTCCAGTTTACACGTTTGGAGTGCTTGATGAGTTTTTGAACGGAAGAAATAGTCTGTCAGCCAGATGGATTTTGCCCAACTCTCTCAGCAATGTTTAAAATAGCATCTTCCCCTCCCCCACAAATGCCTTCCCAGCAATCCACCAATGGAAAGTTTCATTCATTAAATAGCTTAGTAAGAAGATCCCTAAATATTACCGAATCCATATACATTGTTTTAAAGAGCACGTGCTGGAGGATAATAATTGAGAGTAACGGTGACTGTCCTCAGGTCACAAAATTGTGAGCAGAATAATGGCTCTGGAAACAATAAGTTCTAATTCTAGATCCATCTCTACTTGTTGTGATGTTGGGCAGTAATTTAAGAACCACTCCCCACCCACACCTTTTTTTGGTGAAGCAAGATAGTTTTTAGTTACTTTGAAAGATGTGCGGGGAGAGAGAGGGAGA